CACTAAAAATGTAAAAAAAGAAAAACACTAATAATTTAAAATTTTAGTTTCATAGAACCATACCTTTTGGATGATTGAGTGTTGATCTTGAGTATTCTTTTTTTTGCAACTTTGCCTTCAATAAGAAAACAAATTAAAAGAATTAATCATTCAATAAGAAATCAACTTTGTCAATAACAAATGGAAGAAGCACTACAACAACAAAAAAAAATCACAAGAATTCAATATCAATATTTTAAGGATTAAAATACATACCTTGGTTGATGGTTGGTACTTGGTAGTTTATGTAGGAACTAGGAAGTAGCCAATTAAGACAGAATAAAGTGAAACTATGAAAGTCATGAAATCATTAAAAAATAAAAATCATAATAGCATATAATGAAGAAGTATAAATCATCATTCATTTTCACAAGTCCTTAAAAAATAAATATGAAGTTTAAAACTTTAAATGTATCATAAACAATTCATAAAGAAAATTCTCTATTCTCTAATTAATTGAAGTGTCTAAGAAGTAAGAACCACCAACACCTCCACTAAATGCACCAATATCATTAGCACCAACATCAATATCTTCATCCTCGTCATCATTACTATCATCATCATCATCATGATCATTTTCAATATCAATATATTTTTCTTCATTTTCATTATCTTCCATATCTTTGTCCCACATCGAGTATTGTTCTTCTTCTTGAACAACACTTTTGCCATCTTGCCTTTCAGATTCACCTATCCCACGACCACCTTCACCTCTACCTCTACTTGCACCTTAGGTACCCCACTTGCATTTCCATGTCCATGTCCATTTCTCCTTGGCCTATTTAACCCTTCAAGGATTTCAGATGCCCCTAATGCTTCATCTACATCTATGTAAGATCACACCCTTCATAGACCAAGCCATTTAAGGGGTCTATCCTTGTCAACCACTCAATAGTTTCATCTACATCATCAAAGCAAATAGGATCAAGTTGCTTTGGATTTGCATGCCTTGTAAATCTTTCTCGGAGGCGTTGATTGTATTGAATAAATACAAGATCATTGAGCCTCTTTTAATCAAACCTATTCCTCTTTTTTGTATGAATCTACATTCACAACAAAATAAGAAAAATTATAAAAATAAATTTTTTAACTTTTATAGATAATTTTATCATAAAACCAACCATTAGGTTCATTACTTAGAGCTTATATGCTCAAAAGTGCTCAAGTTGCGCTCACAAGCAGAAGAAGTGCATGTAAGACCTAATATGCATAATGCAATATGCCTAAGGTCTGGGGTGCAATGTCCATAGCTATGCTACCAATCAGCTACAAAATAGAAAAAAAAAGAATTAAGACAATATAAATTTAAAATAATAGGAATAAAATATAAATATAAGTTTCAAGAGAATAGAGCTTATATTACTTGGTTGCTTCGTTTCACATTGCCTAATTGTCAGTTCTTTAGAGAAAACACCACGAGCATGTCTATACTCTTCCAACTGATTAGAGATATTGTATTGAATTTCAATATCACTAACTATTCTCTCAATGCAATCTAGAAAGCCCATTTCAAACTTTCCAACCGACGCTTCATCTTGTGCTTTAGCCTTATAATAAAGGGCTAGATTGTGAAAAAAAGCAGCAAGGTGCAACGAATGTTGCATCATATTAGTCCAATGCCTATCAAAAATGTCTAAAATGGGCTTATACTACATTTTTTTTCCACTAAAATTTTCTTTTTATTTTCTCTTTTACTCGCTCCGTTGCATAATAAAAATAATCCATTGTGGGTTTTTTATCACCATCAACCAATCATAAAACCTCCACAATTGGTTGGGCAGCTAAAAGAGCAACTCTTATATTTTTCCAAAATCCAACATAAAGCACAATGTTTGATGATTAAAGTCCATTTGATTTCTTATCCCATTTACTCTTGTTCCACACATCACCAACAAATAAAGCACACAAGGGCTCCTTGAAAGTATCCAAACTTTGTAAAGTTAGAAAAGATGTGGCAAACCTTGTAACTGCACATCGTACATGATTTCTTCCATTTGTTTTTTTCCCTCATGGGTGCAATAAGAAGATGATGCCTATAAATAAAATCAATTACTTGTCTTGCCCTAGCAATACAACTTTTTGTAGACCACAAATCTCCAATGTCTTCTAATATAAGGCCTATACAATGAGCAGCACAAGGAGTCCAAAATAAATTCTTCCTCTTCAATCTTAAAAGATCACCAACAACAACATAAGCAGAGTAATTATCAGTAACCACTTGCACCACATGCTCCTTCCCTATTTCCTCAACAACTTTATCAATCAACTCAAACAGAAAAGTTGCATTATGGACTTCATTTGAGGCATCAACTGGTTTTAGAAAAAAAAAGTCCCTTTAGGGGAATTCACCAAAATATTAATAAAAAATCTTTGTATTTTATGAGTCTATCCATCAAACATGATGGTACAATCATAACTCTTCCAAGAAGCCTCATACTCCTTGTGCATTTGCTTTATTTTCTCAATCTCCCCTTTTAAGAGTGGCTTTTGTAATTCATGGTAACTTGGAGGCTTGTATCCGGACCCAAATTGTGCAATTGTTTCAACCATGACTTCAAAACTTTTCAATTTCACTGTATTGAAAGGAATCCCAGCTTAATAAAACCACTTTGCTACATATTCATTTATTTTTTCATTTTTTTCTTTCTTCAAACGACTTTGAATGCTTGTTTGAGCCAATTGTCCTTTATGCCTTGTTTCATCAATTTCTTCTGGACTTGGTGTCACAAAACTATCCATAGGTCCTCTAACATTTTCCTTTTTTTTTTGTTTTTTGATGGAAATGAGGAATTTGAAATTGGAGTGCTCCTACCACTTGAAATAGACTGTTGTTCTGAATTCAGAATTCTAAAAATTATCAAATGTCCATTTTGACCCCATATATTAGAGTTTTCGTTTGACGTTTTGGAGGTATCATTGGAAAATAAAAAGTTGTATGATTGCACTTTAAGAGATAAAAGATACGAGGAAACGAACAACCATTTTTCTCTTAAAGTTAAAAGATTCCTCTTAAGAGATAAGAGTTAAGAGGAAATGAACACGCCCTAAGAGTCTAAGAGAAAAAGACTAATAAAAACAAATAATAATTTTTTTCAATAATTCAGTTATTCAGTTAGAAATAGAAATTGAATAAAAATTTAAAGCAAGAAAAATTCAGCTATATCTATATGATATAATCAAATTTCATTCAATATTGCAATATTCATATATTTCCTAAGTAAGCAAGCAACCAATAAAGCAAATAAGCAAATGCAATATTGCAATATACAAATAGAAATTAAAAAAAACAACCATATAATCAAATATCAGATTTTCAATTCAGCCATATAATCAAGTTTCAGACTTGTAGTTTAGCCATGTAAAAAGATTTCAGCCATATATATATTAATGATATAAAAAATATTTGAATGAGAAGAAGAAGAATTAAAGAAGAGAAGAAGAATTGAAGAAAAGAAGAAGAGTAGATTCGACTGTTAAAAACCGATAAGTGAGAACAATGAGTGAATCAATGAAGGAGGAGAGGAGTATAAGACAGAGCCCCTATTTTTTTCTAAAGAAAAAAAAAGGAAAAAATGGACTAACTTGTGACTAGTGACTATTGAGAGTGACTACTGACAACTGAGAATAGTCATGTACTCATGGTGCGGAAGAAGAAGAAGAAGAAGAAGAAGAAGAAGATGATGGTGATGATGATGATGATGATGATGATGATGATGAGTGGAGAAAGGGAGGACTGAGGAGTATAGGGGCGGAGACCTTGTTTTTTTCAAAAATAAAAAGGAAAAAATGTCTGAGTTGAGAAGAGAGATCTTAGGATTGAAATCTAAAGAAGAAGAAGGAGAAGATGAGTGGAGAAAGGGAGGACTGAGGAGTATAGGGGCGGAGACCCTGTTTTTTAAAAAATGAAAAGGAAAAAAATGTCTGAGCTGAGAAGAGAGAACTTAGGACTGAAATCTATTGAAGAAGAAGAAGAAGAAGAAGAAGAAGAAGAAGAAGAAGAAGAAAAAGAAGATGATGATGATGATGATGAGTGGAGAAAGGGAGGACTGAGGAGTATAGGGGCAGAGGCTCTATTTTTTTCGGAAAAAAAATGAAAAAGTAGTGAGAAGAGAGAACTCAAGACTGAAATCTGAAGAAGAAGAAGAAGAATTTACCTGCTGAAGCTGAGGTGCAATGGAGTTGGGCTAGGGCTTGAAGTCTTCGGTTCTCATCCCTCTCCAATCGAATAAAAAAACCCTTATGCATAAAGAAAATAAAAAGGCATTAGTTGAATGCTTGTATTGCTGTTTTAATAATAAAATGATATTATGTAACCAATTTTATTTTAAAAGAATAAAACATCCAATAAAATATCAAAATAATAAATTAAAAAAATAGTTTCTTAGATGTATGTAGGTGCCTACCTAGTCGCTTAGGTTCTCGCTAGGTGGGCGCCGAGTATACAAAATCCGTGGCATTTGGGTGAGACAACCTTGGAAAACCGCCTTCTTGGGCCCATCTTGACAATTATGAAAAAATCCCAACTTCTTGGGCCCAAACCCAATGAGAAGTATTCAACTAATGCCTTTTTGCACCCTTAAAGAAAAGAAAAGACTGGGCTGGTTTGGCCTTGGGCTGGGCCGGCCCAATTTGCACCCTTAAAACCTACAATTGCGTCATTGGGTGGATACTGCTTTTGGGTACCGACGTACTGTCCGTTTAGAAGACTCCTGATCTATTCCTTCACTAGTTTATGTTTGGTTTGAAAGAAAAAGTACAGATTTCTTATATTTTCTTTCTTTTCCCTACCATTTTTTTTTCAAAACAAAACGCAGCCATAGCGTAACTCAAGTCTTTAATTTGTAGAGATTTCACTGTATTCTTTCCCTGCATTTTCTTATAAACCAAACATAACTAAATCTCACGATAAAGTTGGAAAATCGTAAGACAAAAATTTCAGTAAAAAGGATCTCTGTCCGCTTTCGCCTTTCTATCCGACCGTTGTAGAGGCCGGTGGGTACTGGATGTTTCTTAATTCTTTTGGTGGCGAGTGCTGAGTGGGACCTAGGTTAACTACGATTCAGTCTCTGCAAACGTTACTATCCTCAATTATAAGAGCGTTGTGTCTGAAGCTGGGAGAAGCATTTCAATGGAGTATGAGGTGAAGGCTGTGGGAGGGATAGAGAGCTGCTTTGTTTCTCTCCCTCTATCTTTCATCCAAACTCTTCAGTCGACTCGTTCTGGGCCTCTTCCTCCTGTTCTCGCTCTCGAACTCCGGTCTCGCGACAACAATCTATGGCACGTAGCATGGTCTGGCTCTTCTTCGATGTCTTCGGCAATTGAGGTACTTGGCTTGCAACTCTAGTAACTATGAAATCTATTCCTCCATTTCCCCCAATAAGTATGTAGTCCTTGCGATTATTTTCCTAGTTCAGATGCATTTCATGTTTTAGTTTATAAAAGAAATCCTATATCTCCTTCTAATTCATCCTTGTAGACTTGAAGAAACCATTTATCTCATTATGCATGCTGATATCTTTATCTATCTTTCAATCATAGAATGCACCCTCGAGTTGTTTTAGGAGCATGTGCCAACTACTGCCAAAATTCTTTAACTAGTGGTTTCCTACTGGTAAATCCTTAAGAGATGCTCTTGATGCTTTCCTAGATCAGCAACAACARTCATATACTTTATTGCGTTTTTTGATGAATTAACAGAAAAAAAATTATTAATTATAGACAGAAAGATGGAAAGCTGGCATCCCAGAGGTTGAGAT